GTGGCTTTTTAAAATGTAATCACTAGTTAAAAGGTCGGTGTGGAGTTAACAAGCTCATTACAAATGCTTCGCCTGTGATCTCTGCACACACCCCCATGGCAGCTACCGGATAAGATGTCCTTGAAGGCCTTGCCGGGACTGGGCCCCAACTCACACTGTGTTTATTCTGCTCCCACCACAAGGCAGCTGGCACCTCTATTGCCAGCTGTTGGGCTTCAGGAAAAACAGGCTAGAAGTTGGTTCCAATGCATTCTTAGGCAAACAGCTAGTCTTAAAAAAAACCAAACAAACTCCTGGCCATGGAAACAGGAATGCAAGCTCAGACTTGGATAGTCTTTTTTGTCAACCTTAGGTTTCCACTTTTGGAACTGCTGTAATTTTCTTGGTACCTGGGTAAGTCTCAAAGGGTACCTGTTTATCTCCGTCCCTCCATAGAGATTGAACATTGGTACTGTGGACTAAATCCATCTTTCCTGCTGGTACTGAGCAGGTTGGATGGGGTTTCAGAACACCGGGGTTCCTGATGTGGGAGACCCAGTCGCTTTTGGGAATGACACTTCTCAACCTGTAAAGTGATCTCAGTCATCTGAGCAAGTGTTCATTTTATGAATACCCGATGCCTGGGAAGCCTGAGCAGTTCTGTTAGGATGGGATTTGGTTGGGACGTTTCTTCATAGCAACTTGAATAGGGTAGAGGTACCTGGGGGCAGTCCACACAGGATGCAAGCAAAATGGGCCCTGGTAACACACAATGAGCTTGATGGAAGACATTGCAGAGGCACAACAACAAAGACATTCCCTGAGGAGGTGGAGGAAGGCCAGGCTGAGGACTGACATCTGCCATTAGACCACGGTGATAGCTCCCTTCATAGTAAGGCCTTACTACACAGGCTGCTGAAAGTGACTAATCCATCCCTAATTTCTGCCTTTGTCAATGGAAGCATTGTTTGGCACACCAGATGCATCTGTTTTTTTGTAGGTTACAGCTATATAGAGTATTTGTAAGTTAAGCCTTATATCATATTCATGAGAATAAGTTCCAAAAGATTTATCCTTGAATTGATGTCCCCTTTCATGTATTTCATTTCCTTGGATGGTTCAGTGACTTGAATGAGAATGTCTCCCCTAAGCTCAAATGTTTGAATGTTTGGTTTGCAGATGGTAGAACTGTTTGGGAAGGATTCAGAGGTGTGGCCTTGTCAGAGGAGGTGTGTCACTGGGAGTGGGCTTGGAGGTTTCAGAAGCCCATGCCACTGTAGTTAACATTCTCTTCCTCATGTTCGTGGATCAGATGTAAGCTCTCAGCACATGAGGACCAGAGAGGAAACACTAAAACTGAATACCACAAGAAGTTTAGAGAAAATGCTTTCTAAATTCCTTTAAAAGTTTTCATGCAGCAAGATTCTGGGCCAAGGTTGTTACATCTTTCTTTCCATAAACATACTATCGAGACACAGTAGCTTAGAGCTAAGAACAGGTCTCTCCTTTACCAAACTGGAAAGAAGTGCCTTCCATCACTTCTAAGAGTGAAGATCTGGTTCCAGCAAAATGGCCTTGACCATCCTATGGTGTCAGGCACAGCCCAAGAAAATCAGCTTTGCATTTGCAGGCCTGCTTCTCAGGATGCCACGCTGGGTGCAGAGTACCAGCCTAGACTTGTTCTCACTCCCACATTCTGAACGGTTCAGTGCACAGATGCATTCCAAATTCTGCACTGATGTGATTAAGGGATAATGTCTGCAGCAAACGACTCCTGCGGGTGATTAAACGCTGAGGGGCAGTTGGGTAGCTATAGAATTCATTTGGTGTGAGTTTATTCCCATGCCACTAGCTTCCTCTCCCAATTACAGGATAAGGTTTCCACAGGGAAGGAGACACAGCATCTGTAAGCAAACATGGTCATGCCTTCACCTTCCTCCAGGGAGAGGGGAACAGAATGACTGTCTATGAATGCTTTGCTCTTGGAGGAGGGAGACTTAAGGCTGATTTGGTGTTTAAGAAAATGAGGAATTGCTTCAGGAAAGATGAAGCTGGGAGACCTGTGTGTCTTACAAACACCAGAAAGAAGATCTCGGTTTCCTATTGTGTGGCACCTGAGTCTATTTCTCATGGTAACTTTTTACCTAGTCCACTAGTCACCTGTCCTTTCCAAGCCTCACTTTAGTGACTCTGTAAGATGCATGTGTGGTGAGGACAAGTGGGCTCTGAACTCCCTTGCATGTCACATAGGAAAGAGTGAGTGAGGCACTGGAGACACAGGAGAAGAGATAATCATTCATTTTTTGGGGGTTGGGGAGGGAAGTAGCAATATGAATGCAACTAAAAACAAATATCACTTGTAACCCAGTAATTTCACTTTCAGGCATTTTACCTAGGGGAACGTTCACACACATTCACAGAGGGACAAGACAAAAAAATCTGTCACTTTGCAGGACTAGTAGAAAACACAAATGTTAAGGCTAGAGAGATGGCTCAGAGGTTAAGAGCACTGGTTGCTCTTCCAGACAACCCAGGTTCAATTCCCAGCACCCACATGGCAGCTCCCAACGTGCTGTCACTCTAGTCTGGAAAACCTGCCCCCTTCTGGCCTTCATGGACACCAGACATGCATGAGGTGCACAAACTTATGTGCAGGCAAGGCACCCATACGCACAAAACTAAATTAATTAATTTAAAAAAGAAAACCACAAATGTCAGGTTGGGGAGATAGCTTACTCAGAGACATAGCTCATAAGGCCAAGTGTTTGCCAAGCAAGCATGAAGACCTGGGCCTGACACCACTCCCCCACCACGTGAAAACCCAAGCATGGCATCCCGAGGTTATGATCCCAACACTGGGAAGACAGAAGCAGGACAGCCACTGAGCAGACAATCTAGACTAATTTGTGAGCCCAGCTCCCAGTTTATTGATCCAATGAATAAAGAGGGTAGCTCCTGAAGTTGACCTCTGGATCACACGCGCGCGCACACACACACACACACACACACACACACACACACACACACACACACACACACACACACACACAGAAGCACACAGGCACGCATACCAAAAAGCAAGTAAAGAAAAACATAGATAACAAATTGGATAAATAAAATATGGCCTCTTTTGACAATGGAATAATATACAATAACAAATCAATAAGGCTCTATATAAATCGATACTGATATTTAAAAAATAAAAATTGTTTAGAAGTTCCTGCTGGTTAAACTCATGGCAATATGACTACTCAAAAAAAAAAAAAAAAAGAGCAGCTGGGCATAATGCATCAGGTTAAAAACACACGTATAGAGCCGGCAGTTGGTGGCGCACGCCTTTAATCCCAGCACTCGGGAGGCAGAGGCAGGCGGATCTCTGTGAGTTCGAGGCCAGCCTGGTCTACAGAGCGAGTTTCAGGACAGCCTCCAAAGCCACAGAGAAACCCTGTCTCGAAAAACCAAAACAAACAAACAAACAAAAAAAACAAAAAACAAAAAAACACACGTATGAGTACATAGTAATACCCAAAAGAGAAAAGAAATAACCAAAGTACCTAATACATAGACTGTGAGGTCCAAATGAACAGAAACATTACATTATCAATACCACAGGTGTGTAGGTGTGTGTGTGTGTGTGTGTGTGTATACACAACCAGAGACACACGAAGGAGGGCACACATACACTCATGACAGTAGTTACTGAGCAGGGCTGTGGCTTGAATGTGAAATGTCCCTCACAAGCTCACATGTTTGAACATAAGGTCCCCAGCAAGCGGTGCTGTTTGGGGATGCTTTATGATATTTGTGGGGGTGGAGCATCGCCAGAGGAAATGGGTCACTGAGGGTCAGCCCTGACTCCCTGCCTGCTTTCCACTTGGCCATGAAGCGAGGAGGTGCTGAGGATGCTCGGATGCTCACCCCTTCACCACTGCTCACATAGCATCATGCCTTCCCCATAAAATGGACTGCATCCCCTCAAACTGTGAGCCAGCACACCCAACCTTCCTACCTTCCTTAAGTTGTTCTTGTCTGATGTCCTGTCTCAGCAACAAGGAAAGAAAGGATCACAGGAAGCGAGGCAAAGGGACTTAACATGGGGATAAGGACGACTTTGTGAGATCAGTAAGACTTGATTGGGTATTTTATATGAAAATGCAAGCCCCACAAAATGTTATTGACAGGTGGTTGAGAAATGATGCTTAATACAGCATTCTACCCTCACATTTCAAAAGCAAAAGGCATCTCAAAATAAACAAGAGCACATGAGGAACAATGCTTTGGAAAGATGTACACTGTCAAGTGCCCTGCCAAGTTCCCTAAAAGGGTCAGGGGTGTGAAAGCCTTTGGAAAGCAGAGTAACCCTGCCTTCATTCCTACGGTATCTCACTCTTTGTCATCCAGGATGGTAGGAGTCATACCACTTACACTTAAATTAACTGAAACAAGTTAAGATGGAATTTTTATTTCCTCTATATCATTAGCCTAATGACCACATGCTAAACTATTGGGCAGCATCTGGGGACTACTTCCGTCACCAAAGTAAGTTTCCCAGACATAGCTGAGTTTTCAGCTGAAAACCTGTTTTGTTTGGTATTGTTTTGCCTATTATCCAGACTGACCAGGGGCTCATCATGAAGCTGAAGCTGGCCTCTGGTCTACAGTCCTCCTGCCTTAGCTTTCGGAGCTCTGGGTTTAGGCATGTGGCACTATGCCTGTGTAAAACCTTTAGACGACTATGACATTTTAGTCATGTCCCTCTTTTCCTTAAAGTCCTTCTACATGGAGGGAAGCCAGGGTGATAGGTTTGTTTTCTTTCTTTTTTTCTTTTTTCCATTTCTGGTGAAAAGACATCTGTTACAATTATGACTGTTGCAGAGAATCAGACAAAGCATCTCTAAGAATCGACCTCATAATCCTCTGTAGTTTGAAGCCATCACATTTAGTTTCCAGTCCAACCCAGGAAGCAGGCAGAGGCTCTGTTTGGAGGAGTGTATTATCCAAACAAGAGCCCACTTTCTCACCTGTACACAGTGTGAGGGACGTACACTTCCCGTATCGGAAACTCCAAAACCTCCTTGTGTGGCCGTGTCCGGTTCTCGGGAAAGGGTTTGACGGGCAGCATCTCAGGTGTCAGGCAGCAGCTCATCACATCAGGAGCTGGGGATATCTCCAGCCTAAGAGAGCCTAGAGCAAGGCACAGGGTGGGATGGAGTCTTTATACATCAAGAAGAAACCCAGGATTGCTGTTCTAGGTTTCTTTCAGGAGGATAAGGATAAGCTGTGGGACTGTGCATGCTTGAGGGTTCCCAGATAATTTCCTTTGCCTTGGGGAAAAGTCTGTCATGCTAAAATTTGAGGTTAACATTTCATAAAAGAAAAGTAAGGAGTTATATAATGAGTATGAATGGGCTGGAACAGTGGTTCTCAACATGTGAGTTGAGACCCTTATAGGAATGATCATATATCAGATATCCTGAATATCAGATATTTAGATTAAAATTCATAACAGTAGCAAAATTATAGTTATGATGTAGCAATGAAATATTTTTATGGGTGGGGGTCACCGCAACAGGAAAAACCGTATTAAATAGTCATAGCATTAGGAAGGTTAAGAACCGCCGGACTAGAAGGTCCACACCACATTTATACATGTTGAACAACCAAACAACCCCCTCAAAACTTCCTGGTATTGGTAGCAGTAAAATGGGTGGGCTTTGGTTTGAGTACTCAGGCACACAAGGATGCTACAGAAATAACACGTGGGCTGTTGCTCAAGGATAAGAAAGTGTCTTCAGTGCCTAAGCATCCAGCTCTCTCCTTAAATCCTAGACTTCCATATAATATTTTGTGTGATAAAGGACTGGTGATCTGTTCGATTATTACCAGATTATCTGAGAGACCAAGCCTAAAGCATACTATTTGTAGAATGCATCCTTTGTGAATGAGAAGACATTAATAGATTTGTCAAAAATTCAGAGCAATTTAGATTCTTAACTTCAAATAAAAAAATCTATATTGCCCTTGGCAGTTATATAAAACCAAAGTATTAAACAAGAAATGTCAATCGCAAATGATTTGGGCACAGTTCAAGAGTGTCATCGTTAGCTTCTGTTGACAACTTGACACAGACACACAGTTACCTGGGAAGTGAGAACCACAACTGAAGAATGGCCAGGATCAGACTGGCCAATGGACACCTTTTTTTTTTATTGCTAATTAGTGTGTGAGAGCACACCCCATTGAGGGTGGTAACAACCTTGGCAGATGGCCTAAGCTGCAGAAGGAAGGCAGTAGAACATGATCCTGGATGCAAGCCAGGAAGCAGCATTCTTCCATGGTTCCCACTTCGGTTCCTGACTCCAGGATCCTCTTGAGCTCCTGTCCTGGCTTCCCTCAACGATGGACTATGATGTGGACGAGTAAGCCAAACAAGCCCTTTTGTCGGTTGCCTTTGATCAGTGCTTTAGCACAGCAACAGAAGCAAACCAGAATGAAGAGGCAAAGAGAAGCCGAGCATACCTGGGATGGATTTGACTCTTCGCTGTAAGGATGAAGACCTCTTGTAGTCAGCTAAAAACTTGAACAAGTCTTCATCACTAAGGCGATCTCCTTCCTGCCAAGAGATGCTCAGGGTTAGTGGGGAGGCTGCTGATTCCTGGACGTGGGGCCAGCTATTTCGAAGATTCCCCCCCTCCCGCCCGCCCCAAGTAATTTTCTTTCATTATTATTTTGCTTACTCCTCTATTTCTTTATTTCCCCCTTTCCTCTTCTCTCCTTCCTTTCTTCCTTCTTCCCTCCCTCCTTCCTTCATTCGTTTCTCTTTCCTGAGTTATGGTCCTACTAGGTAGCTCAAGTTGACTTCCAATTCACAACTCTCCTGTCTTGCTTTCCTGAGTGCCACCATACCTGGCTCATCTGTTTTATTCTAACGAGTATGTCATAGCAATCAATATGACGGGTAACCCTGAAATCACTGAATTCAAACACCACTTTCCAGTGTTCTTGGAAGCCAACCTCTTATCAGCGTTGCTGGAGGCAGAGCTCCCACTGCTATCCTAGGCAGCTGTCTGACCTTGAGGAACCAAGGTCACAGGCATCTGCCTTTTAATGTCAACCAACTGAAACTCCACTTAGTCCCAGAAACACTGCTGAACGAGCCTCCATCTTCAGAGATACAAAGATGGGAAAAGCATCTTCATAGTCTTCCCCTTGGTCTTGAATAAGGAAGGCAGGTATAAGCTCTGCCCTCTACATACCCACCATGGGACAGATGCCTGGCCAGGGGCACATCTGCATGTCCTCTAATCCCTGCAACAGCCCAGCTGAGCAGACGACACTAATTGACTTCTCTGATCACCCACTATACTGCTCATTTGAACTCTAATGTCCTTGCTAATACAAGACAAATTCAGCTGCACTGTAACTCAAATACCTGCTTGAAGAAGATATTTGTGGCCAAGGTGGTGGTTTTGAAGTTGGATCCAACTCCATTTTCCTCAAAGGAGAGAGATCGCTCAGAAGGCCTCCTGGATTGGGACAAACTCCTCCGCTCACCCACAGAGTTTCTCCCTTTAAGGAAAACAACTGTCATTCTAATATGTTGGCCATACACCAGTTATTGCTGACCCCAGTCATCCTTATGAATGCAATTTTACCTATACAGGGCTCAACCTTTCTTAATCCCCCAACCCCCCTTCTAAAGTCCTTAACACTCTTTGTAAGCATTTTGGGATGGGACAGGATGGAACAGGAGTGGGTCAGGTATTCTGAAACTCGGGAGCCACAGGATACTGAGTGTTACACAGCTCAGGTGGAAAGGTATCCTGGAGCTCGGGAGCCAAGGACCACCACAGGTTGCAGTAAGCTTAGCAGCTTACAGCCTGGCCTCAGGGAAAGGCTTCCCCAGTGTATTGGCTCCACTCAGGCAGGACAGGGTCTTCAGCTGGGGATGTTCGCCCAGTGTAACAGTTTTACTCCACAGGAGGTTTCTCAGGAAAAGTTGCTACATTTCAGCTCTGCCAAGGGAAGGTTTCCTGAGCAAGTGTTACAGCCCTGCTCTCTCTGCTCTGCTCAGGGTCGCCGCTGCAAAAGATCTTCACCCAAAGCTCATCGAAGGGGTTTATTGGAAGGAAGCAGCTGAACCAGCCAAGCTGAACATACACAGGGTTTATATAGGGATTCTTGGGGGCGGGGAAGTTTTTCCAGGGTAGGGATTGGTCCGACTTCAGTGCTGAACTCAGATTGGCAAGAGCTCTGCTGGAGGATTGATTAGTTTTCTGCACAGGATTAAGGTCAGGTTTGGCTCTGGTTTCAGGGCCAAAGTGTGCTTCTTTCTCTGGTCCTTTTTAGCCTTTTGGCTCCAAGTTTAGGGCCAGGGTGCATTTGTTTCACTGACTCAGATTCCAGGGACAAAGTGTGTTCCTTTGGCACTGGTTTCAGGGTCAGGGTACATTTCTTTGGTTCTGGTTGCAGGGCCAAAGTGTGTTTCTTTGGCTCTGCTCAGGGTGTGTTTCTTTGACTGGTCCCTTTTCCCTACACTCTTACTAGAGGAGAGAAGATCCTCTTTCCTGTAGGATGGCCAGATGTCACCCTGCAAGAATCTGGAAGTCACCCAGTAGAAGGTCTGCTGCTAGGCTGTTGAGTCAGCCCAGTGTCTGCATTGCTTTTACTCTTGCATTCCCTGAGAAGGTACATATGCTCACACATCCCTTAAGGGCTTGGGGACTCAAACCAGCTTGTGCACATTCTGGATCTCCTTTGCCTCTGTTCTAGTGTGAACTAGGTAACGACAGAGCCTTGACTGACCTTTCTAATGGAAACTAGACAGGGCCGAGGCTCTCCAACTATTGCTCCCTTATTTCTTGTTTCTTCTGAAGAACCAGCTTGAAATCTTGTGTCTTTTATTCTGTGAAGTCTAGGGTTTCTCTTATAAATAGTCCATCGCCTGGAATGCACAGCTCACACTGAAGCTGAATGAGAGCCACCACTGGCTGCTAAGCTCCATGTAATGCACCAGGTCAGGGTTAGGCAATCAGCTCAAGTTAAACTACCCCTGACTAAGGCCTAACTAACATCTTGATAAGTCCGCTGCCAGGATTACTCGGGCATTCCATGCCCTCTGAGCTCCCCACACTTCCAAGTAAGTCAATAAATAGAACAGCCGCCTTAGAAAAACTGAATGTGAAGGTCAGAAGGGCTAATGTTTACTGACAATGGCAAAGAATGCAGGAGTTCTGACTGGTGATTATGCAACAGTCTCTCCAGGAGAGTAGCAATAGTAACAATCACCTTGGCCTCCACTCCCTGCAAAGGGCAACATTTCAGAAGTGGCAGAGCCAAGGAATGTGGGAACCATTCAGAAGTAGACTCAAATATTTGCTGAATGTGAAGGAGTTTAGGAAAACAGCTACTCCACAACAGGTATTGGGCATGGGTTTACCTGGAAACTATCACCCAGACACTTCCACCCTTAAACTGTAGAAGTAATTGGTTCACATTTATGGAGAGGTGGTGAAATAAGTAAGAACGGTCACTATTAGTTATCTTTGGTACTTACTTATTCTCATTGTACTTGGCAAAATAGACTGCACGAGACCAGAAATTTTGCTGAGAAATCTGAGTTTTGCTTTTCCAAGCTTTGAACAGTGCCCATTCTCTTGCATGGCGTCTTTGTTAACACACTGTGCCTGCTCACCCACTTGTCCTTGTTATTTTCAAGTATTTTAAGTTTTGAGATGGGATGAGTACTGAAAATTCACTTTCTAAAGACTTAAAACTCCACCCAAAGTTCTTTAAAAAAAAAACCTTTATTGTTTAAAGGTAATCTTTTTTATTTGTTTGTTTGTTTTTTCCGAGACAGGGTTTCTCTGTATTGTTTTGGAGGCTGTCCTGGAACTCACTCTGTAGACCAGGCTGGCCTCGAACTCACAGAGATCCGCATGCCTCTGCCTCCCGAGGGCTGGGATTAAAGGCGTGCGCCACCACTGCCCCGCAAAAGTTCTTAATATAAAAGTATATTTAAGGCTCCATAAATACTCATAGTGTTGATCAGGGAGCCACTGATCAACACGCAGTTCAGTATTCTACTCACATCTTCCTCTCGCCTACCTCCACACTCTCCGTCTCCCAAGTCCTTACTAATGAGCAGATAACCACAAAGCTGGTATATGGGGAGGGGGAGGCTGCTTCCATTGCAGAGGGAGATCTTACCAACCACGGGCTCCATGTCAGCGCTTTCCCTTTCAAGGATGGAGACGTTGAAGAAGCTTGCTAAGCTAATAGGGGCCCAGGCAAAGGGCATCCGGTATTTCCCCAAACGTTGGCAAAAGGATTCAGCCTGAAGTTTTAGTTTTTCAACCTTTTCTTTACTCTGGAAGAAGATGGAAGGAGACAAGATGAAACAAAACATCAGCACCAAGTAAACTTCCTGGCATGGGGACAACAACTACACTGACTTCTGATGGGGACTATGGGGGGGGGGGGGGCACACAGCGACAGTGAGTCAACAGGAAAACAACAGCTTAGGCTGAAAGTCTAGCTGATAGGGAAGCAAAGGTTACAGAAGGAACAGATTTTTAAAGGGACACCAATCAATTAGCAGATGATATTTTCTGCTATGAAGACATGCTGTAGGCTTGTTACACCAGTCAACACACAAAAACTTCATTTACCTAGATAACTTGGATTCTCCTGAGGAAAACTTGGAAAAGAAATGCTAGTATGTCATCTATCAAAGTCCCAAAAGCTGCCTTGAGATTCTAAAAAAAAGCCTTAAAGATTCCCAACAATGTCAACATTGTTGACAATACTTCCAAGGAGTTCTCCCTAAATTCATACTCACAGATTTTTAAAACACAAATATCTGTCTTTGTTTAGTGCAATCAATTTTATTTGAAGTTTACAAGACTAATTCTAAAAGACAACATTTTAAAAATAATCCTGGGAACTTCTGCAAACTGGTACTGGGGAAAAGTCTTATTCAGGCTTTATGACCTATTATATACTAATTAACTTATGATGAGCAGAAGCCGTATCTGCTAATCTGCACATGATAACAAGACAATACCCTGTGTTGTTAAGGAAAACCAAGAGAACTTTTGCCCTCTTCTGCTTGTGTGGCCCTGGCAGTGCTCCCAATCTGTGCATAGATAGAGCTTCAGAACCAAGGCAACAGGTGTCGCTCAGTCTGAGCCTGAGTTCACACCGGCATGAAGCAACATTAGTGTGTTCGGTCATGTATTTCTTTAAAAAATTATTGTCATGTCAGTAACTGGTTTCTCTTTCCTCTTTCATGAAAATAAAACTTACGAGTGTTTCAAATGGAAAATATAATCATCTATTTTGAGGAACACTTTTGGAAATTTGTTCATCCTAAGATGTCACAGTACTTAGATGACCATACCTTTCCACCATCACTTTCTTTGATGACCATGTAGGGTTCTGCGCAGTCTGCAATCTCCCCCTGCTGAAGGACCTTTTCAATCTAGCAACAAAAATATTATTAAAGCAAAGTGAGTGCGTTATATCCATATAATGGGAGCTATGCAACCATAAAATTAAGTTTAGTGACAATATTTGATGACATAGGGTATTCATTACATATGCTCTCTGATTTTAATATATAAAAATACAGTGTGGAGCTGGGGGTTGGTGGTACATGCCTTTGATCTCAGCACTCAGAAGGCAGAGGCAGGCAGATAGATCTCTGAGTTCAAGGGCAGTCTGGTCTAAAGAGCAAGTTCCAGGATAGCCAGGGCTTCACAGAGGAACCTGCCTCAAAAAAACCCAATGTGTACATGTACATATATGTGTGTGTGTGTGTGTGTGCAGGCGCGCGTGTGTGTATATAGTATGAAGACTACCACAGAGTTTCAGAGGAGAAAAAAAAGGAAACAAGATATTTAAAAAGATGATATCAGCAAATGGTAATATGATGATAAATTTTTATATGATGGGAATATATGTGTTTTGTATTTTCTTCCTATTACTGATAAGAAGTTTCTATTTTAAAACAATAAACATGTGTATATCCACAATAAAAATGCAATAAAAGTTATTTTATAAAACAAAACCCAGGAGACACACGTAGGAAGTGAAAAGCTCATTTTCGTTATTGTTGCTTACAGAGTAAAAAGAGATATAGTCTCTGTAAAAAGCCAGGCTGGTAACTAAAACCTTCCACAAAATGAATAAATGAACAGAATAAATCATCTATAATTGTGCCCCTTGCATTTCCCATCAGGGCTGCTTCTCTAGATTTGGCAGACAGAGGAAATGCCTGGAGATGTGTATCTTATTCTGCTAATGAGTGCTAGTCCAATAAAGTGTCTGCTTCCAGTTAAGCACTTGACAACCAATTGTCATAAATATGGGCACCATGTTTAAGGGAAAGAAGGGGGTAAATTTCAGATATTCTAACTCTTTACTCAAAGAAAACGTAAGTGAACTTAGATGCTAAGACTTAGCGCTATGAGCCTGTGTCATTAGTTTAGATTCCTGAAGAAGCAATAGGATCAACATAGGCCATGGACACACATTCTTAATAGGCACCATTATAAGTGAGGCAGAAACTATTTGAATTTGAATATCCAACTGATGGAAGTGTGTTCAATGGTGTTTCAAAAGAAGTGGCACAGAGCCGCTCAATGGACAGCGACTTCAAGGGGGTAGTCCCAGTAGAAAGTATCTTTTTACAAAAGAGGTTTAAAAGCTCGTCCCACTGCCAGCAGAGAGAAGGCTGGCCCTGAGGAATGAAGCACACTGGACACATGGGCAGAAAGGGCTTGAGCCAGAACTGACCAGTGTTCCAGATCACCAGCATGCAGTCCATCATTCTGTCACTATTCATTCAAAAAGTGTGTATTGTGGTAGCTTCTGGGGAGTAACTGTGAACACAATAAACAGGGCTCCTCTTCTCCTCCCCAAACTCACAATTAGGACCCCACAGAATAAACTGAAGAGAGGCTAATTTTTCCATGAGTTCAACAAATAAAAACATAGTCTTGTATGGTGGCTCACACCTTTAATCCCACTTAGCCGGCAGAGGCAAATGGATCACCATGAGTTCAAGGTCAGCCTGGTCTACCGAGCAAGTTCTAGGACAGCCGAGGCTACACAGAGAAACCGTGTCTTGAAATACCAAACCAAACAACAACAGCAGAAACAACAACAAAACCCATGGTCTTTAAAATAAATCCCAAGTAGAGACTAAGATTCTTTCGGGGTTGGGGTTGGAGCCCATTGGCAGAGCACTTGCTTTCCATGTACAAAGTTATGGACTCCATGCCCAGCCCACAGGGGAGAAAGGAAGGAATGAGGAAAGAAGGAATAGAGAGAGAAAGAAGAAAAGGGCTCATGTAAGAATCTTTCAGTTGATAGTCTACAGCAAGGAATGGAATGCTTTCCTTGCATGTCCAAATAAAGCTTTATTTGAAACCCATGGAAAGGCTCCTTAAAACCTAGAACCAGGAGAGTCTACATCTGATGGGACCAGGAACTACTATCCCTCCTGCTGCATTGGGCCAGGGTGGCTTTAGGAGGAGAACTTCAGCTTGATGTGAGCACCTCATGCATGGTCATTCCTGGCTGATGGGTAAGCATGCACGAACTAGGCCACGTGAATTGCCATGCGTGTGGGCATGAGCAGAGGAGCACTTTAGAAACAGCTGAGAGTGTTAAGGTAAAGAGGCTACTTTACAGTGTACTCATTAAACCAGGAGAGGTGGGTTTAATCTACTTTATCAATATTTAAGCATTATTTTAAAAAAAGCTTGAGGTTCACACCCATCCTCACGTGTGGAACAAATCCTCTCATGCACTCAAAATACTGAACTAAGCCTTTCAGCATGAAATAATCCCTCACAGTAATTTATGTGAGAGCTGACCTAGGTGACCTTACCTATTTGAGATCCTGATATTCATCTTGGGAACAAAAATAAAGTGAGAAGCCACGTCTTTATCACATGACATCTACCTGGGCACTCTAAACATTACAAGACCACTTACTATGAATTAGAGGGAAGGCAGCTATAACGATGGTCTTATAAGACAAAAAGGTACCAAGCCAAGATTGCTTTCCAGTGTAGATCTAAACTTCTTAATTATAGCCAGATACCTTAGAATGTGCTTGTTACTGTCAAGTCAGTATGCCTCTACATTAAAAAAAAAAATGAGAAATGTATAGTCAGTTATAGCAACCAACACATTTCCACTATTGGTTATTTATTGTAGGCTAATAAAATTTTATTGGAAATAAAAATAGCTCTAGAATTAGTGTGGCTTTGTTGGTTGCCCATTGAGAGAAATGTATATTTAACAACAGGGCACTCATAGCTGAAATTAAGCTTTCCTGTATGTTGAATTAAGCAACACAGTGAGAAGCAACGGATGCATATTCTTAGGGAAAGACTTATTTTATAATTTTATTTTCTTTTTCAGTTCCTAGGGATGAAATCCAGGACCTGGTACCTGTTAGGCTAGTGCTACTGAGTCATATGAGATCCCCGAGGTATGCCTTCCAGTCCCAGACATGGATTTTAAACTTCCTGAACCTTAAACAGGTCCCTTTAAGCTGTAGCCATCTTTGTGAAATAATATAAAGTAAGTACCTTCCAAGTGGTCTGAATTGTTAGGAATCTGTAATCCACTACTATTAGATCATGTGGGAATTCAAGTGATACATACACAGGATACCAAGTTAAATGTCCCAAACAGTCTAACGATTCATGAGATCAGAGAGTTTACCTGTTTTAAACTATTTACAGATCTTTGCCTTAGAGAGTCACTAAGTGCACTTATTTGACTGCAAGTTGTTAAATACCCAGTGTTTGCTGTCAGATTCAAATTAATGACTTTAACATGTAGGTAGAGAAAAGCTCTGGTCTTCGAGAATCTCCATCCATGGACAGTCTCCAGTGAAGTGTAGTCTACTTATATTGTGAAGCCTATTTATAAAGGCCCCACAGATTTTGACTCACTGGACACATGCACTGTGATAACAGAGACTGAAGGGTGGAAAGGGCAGTCTATCAGAGGCTAGATTGGGGATGCTGTCCTAGAGAAACATGCTAACGCCACCACGAGACTATCTGAGAGCGTTTGTGCCTTTCACCACGGCAAACTTCCCCACCAGGACTGCTGAAGGTGACTTCCTTGCTTAGGAAGGGCCAGGCTTTATCTGTAATTGTGACAACTGGAGGTCAGTGTCATCATCCTTATAGCACAGATGACGAACTCAGTCTCAGGAAGTCTGAGTCACAGCTTCTGACTGCACAGTAAGGATCACAACTGAGGACTGTTGAGTCTCCGACCCCCAGTCTCTCTAGTGTCCCAACGGAAGTCAGTGGAATGGGAAGTATTGCTGGGAATAAGCAACCTAAACATCACAGAGGACACACAGGCCTGTTTTGTGGCTTCTTTCAGCTTTGCTGAATGAGACAACATGGATGTCAGATCATGCTGCTTGGATGGTGGGTAATTACCTTGACAACCAGGTAGATGTCTGAGGATGGGTAGGTGACGGAGAACACTGCAGACCTTGCCTGACTCGATGGGTCAACTGAGGGGGTGTGAGCTCGCAGGAACCCTTTGAACTGGTCAGAGTTCAGGTCACAGTGGAAATTTTCTGAGATCTGTAAATGAGCAGCAAAGGGAACAGTAAATTAGAACTGTTGTGTTCTTCATCTAAAAGTGCTACAAGCATAACAGTCTCTGGAAAAATTTGCTCAAGGAAGTATAACTGAATATGGTGAATGGCTAGTGGCTGCTGGAAAGTCTGGTATTTTGTTACAACGTCTATATAGCTTGGAGCCACTCACCAATATTTCCTGTGGATTAGCGATGCGCAAGCCCCTCCTTGAACAAGAGAAAAACACAACCTCTGCCAGGTTTCCAATAAAGGTGAGGGAAAGCTAACACACAACAAGCTAGAGTAAAAGCAAATTAAGTCACTACACGCATGCACAGAAACACCATGGAAGTTCTAGAAAGTATAAGATAATTGGGGTAACGGGGAAAATTATTCATGGACGAGACAGATGAGTGGTTCTCACGGGCAGAGCTGGAAAAACAGTGTACCGGGAAGACAGCACAGACAATGATCTCAGGGGCTGGAAGGCCTGGACTGAGCCTGGTGAGCAGTGAGCAGCCCAGCCTGACTCTGCATCACAGAGGGAGGGAAGGAGTATGAGAGGGACCCCAAGGCAAGCCTGGCATAGGCGCTAAAGAGGTTGTCAGCTGTGGGTAGGAAGGTAGGTACAGGTAATGCAGATCCATGAAGCATTCTGAGCCTGCCTAGCACGTTCGACACTCGCGGACATTCTAATCTAGGGTATGTGAGATGTGACAGCCTCTACTGGGTTCCTCCCTTCCTTGCTAAGAATGGGTTCGTGAGAACTGGAGGCTGAGGCAGAGACCACATTTCCTAGCCCTCACATGTACTGTTAAGGGTGATCATGTGACCAAATCTTTTCCAATGGGGAGCAGAAGTGGTGCAGCACATTTCCAGGCTTCCTCCTTCATCATTTGAGATAAGACAGTAAGAGGAGTAATTGGGGAGGACACACGCTGAGGAAAAAAGGGGCTCTCAGCAGCCTGCGTTTCAGAAAGACTGAGTGGGACCGAGGCACTACTAGCCTGTTACTCACCCCTTGACACCTTGAACTATGGAAAAACTTTGAGAGCCCAGTGATTTTAAAACTAAGGTTCTCTAACAAGTGGCTTCAACACCATCAAGAAACCTGTTACAGGGGCTGGAAAGATGGCTCAACACTTAAGAGCACTTACTGCTCTTCTAGAGGACCCAGGTTCAATTCCAAGCACCCACATGGCAGCTCACAACTGTCTGTAACTCCAGTTCCAGGGGACCTGACACCATCACACAAATGTATATGCAGGCAAAACTCTAATGCACATTAAAAAAATAAATCTTGTTAGAAATGAAAATTCTCAGGCCCTATCCAGATTTACAGGGACAGAAACCCAGTGATGGGCTCTTAGAACACATGTTTGACCATGTGTCCTACGTGATATGGTGCACACGAAAGTCTGAGAACTGCTGTGTTTTGTATTTATTTACTTATTTATGTGCACATAGGTGTGAGTGTATGTACAACTGTGTGTGCAGTCAGAAGCCAGGAAACAGTGTTAATGTCTTCTTTCCTCACTCATTGCCTATTCCTTCAAGATAGGATCTTTCCTGAACCATGTTTTTGTTTATCTGTTTGTTTTGTTTTCCCATCTAGGTTGGAAGCCAGCAATCTCCTGTCTCCACCTGCCTCACAACTGGGGTACCAAGTATTTGTGGGGGCACCTGGCTTATTATGGATGCTGGGATCTGAACTCCAGTCTTCACCACTGCCATACATGTGCTCTTACCTGCTAAGTCAGCCCTCCAGCCCTGAGAACTGCTGCTAAACCAATTGAGGCCTACATTTTAAAAAATTATTTATTTTACTTTATGTGTATGGGCATTTCATCTGAATGTATGTCTGTGCAACATGTGCATGCAATGCCCATGGAGGCCAGAAGAGGACATCATAACTCTTGGGACTGGAGTTACAGATGGTTGTGAGCCACGGTATGGGTGCTGGGAATTGAACTGAGGTTCTCTGAAAAAGCAGTCAGTGTTCTTAATCACTGAGCCATGTCTTCAGCCCCAAAGACCTGTTTGTTCTGACATCTAATCTCTTCGCTAATACCAAGCCCACCTATTATAGTGTTCCAGGGCTGCATTTCCTTCAGTGCAGCTGCTACAGGTGAAGAATGGCAGAAGCATGGTTGGAATCCTGTTGGGTTTACAAATGCCTAAACTATGGCACATTTTCAACCTCAAGGAGGAATCTTGGGTCACTGAATTCTTTCAATGGAAAAATATCTTATAGTTGGTGATGTCTTCACCATGCAGTGAATCCATTCACAATTTAATTCTCTCCCCCTACCCCTGTGTGTGTGTGTGTGTGTGTGTGTGTGTGCTACATGCAGAAGCAAGAGCAGGATGCTCTTTTGCTTTCTGCTTTATTGCCTTAAGACAGGATCTTCACTTAACTGGAAGCTTGCATGTTCACATAGACAGGCTGGCCAATGAGCTCTAAGAATCAGCCAGCATCCTCCCCCCCCCCCAATGCTGGGGATACAGGAATGTGAAATCCTGCCTGCCTTTTCATGTAGGTGCTGGGGATTCACACTCAGGTCCTCGTGTTTGCATAGCAAAATCTCTTACCCACTGAGTCATCTCCACAGGCCCACAATGAACCGATTTCATAGTACAAAAATCTCCAGGAAGAAAAAAATCATGCATAGCTGAACTTGTTAAAAATGACACATTATTTTGTGTGGCACATAACCTCAAGTGCTATCTACTTCTTTCTCTGACCAACCAGCACCGCTTCTAGCAGGCCTTTCCCTTAAAGATTCTTTGAAGGACGCAAACAATTAGTTTCCAGATCAGTTCTTTTTTAAATGGTAAAAAAACAAACCTGGAGCTCTCAATGTTTATTTGCTTTCAAACCTGGTGTGCATACTGGGGCTCAGCAGGGAGCACTTGACACGCAGCATGACTATCTGAGTTTGAATTCCCAGGACAGACATAAATGCTAGGTGTGCACAGAGGCCAGCTGTAATTCCAGCATCTGAAAGGTGGAGGGTGGGAATCTCTGAAGCCAGTCAGCTAGCTAGATGAGACCACTCAGGAAGCTTTGGGTCCACCCGAGTGATCCTGCATCCATGAGTAATGCGCAGAGTGATCAAGGAAGACACCAGACATCAACTTTAGGCCTCTACACACACATACATATATGTGCACACACCCACAAATACACACACACACACACACACACACACTCACCCATGCAACACACACACACACATACACACATGCATACCTGATGTGCTTTATTGCTACACATAAGTGAGATTGAAAACATGAACCCAGAGAATCATGTGGGATGTTTGGGATGGGCTATTTTTATTTTCATACCTTTTTCCTTTCTTTAACATCATAGAGGGCAATGCTGGCAAACAGAGGCTCAATTTCAATCTCAAACCTGTCACAGAGAGAGAAAAAAATCAATATGGTTCTAGCCTGCCTAAGTTTGAATGTTCTAAAAGTGCATGGTTATATAAAATCACTAAAAATGTGAACATGATTCCAGAAATATAGGGATAACCCCACCAATGTGAGAGACACAAGGATACTAATGGGGAAATTATGAGAAGTTAATGGAAAATTCCAGATAATTTGAGGTCATGGTAGAGAGGTTGGTGGTGGTACAGCAAGAGAGTGATGTGAATGGAATTTTAGTCTGATCCAAAACACTACTTCATATACACGTCATGCTGGGGACTCATAAATGCCAGACAAGTATCTGCCACGGACCTACACCCCAGTACTTATTCCTATTGTAGCTGTCATGCTTTAGAGAATAGTCTCTATCTCACGGGCAATGGACTTGCTTACATTCTTCTGCTGGTACTAAATCTCTACTATTTGGGGCTGGAAAGATGGTTCAACCGATAAAAGCAAGTACTGCTCCTGTAGAGATGCCTAGTTTGATTTCCAGAACCAACAACAGGAAACTCACAACCTCCTGTAATTCCAGTTCCAGGAGATCTGACACCCTCTTCTCGGCTCTGCAGGCACCTGGCCTCATATGCACTTACCCCCTCCCCAACATGTACACATAGTTTAAAGAATAATAAAAAATAAAATGCTCCAAAGGTCTACTATTATTCAATTATAACGAATAAGACTTTTTAGATAGATGAAAAGTATCAAAGGCCAGCAGGATAACTAATATTCAACAGGCCAACCTACTACATGAGTGATAGCAAACTCCACCTGGCAAGGCAATGGAGTCACTGCCTATGGAAATCAGTTGCTCCTGTCTGTAATTTCTCTCATGAGTCATGCCATCTCTTCCCTAAGAATAGCTTTGGGTGATTCCTACTACTTGTCTGTGTTTGTCTCATGAAAAGATTCCGTCTTCTGGAAACATACATCTGTGGGAAGTCAGGAGAATGACTTTTCATTTGGCTGTGTATATACTGGGTACCTTGTATTCTCAGAAAGGTCCCAGAGAAAGGAATTTCTTCTCCCTGGGGCATCAGTAGTAAAGAGCACCCCACTGCTTACTCTGAGGCTGGAAGAAGCAGCCTCAGGATTTTACACTATATAGATTTTCCCTTTGATATAGCCCTGAGAAGTCCCCTTTAACCAGCTAACATTTGCCAAAAATGCTAATGTAGATCAAATGCCACCCATTTTCCTTCTCCAGCTTAGCCTGGTTGCCGTGGCTCCTGTGACACTGTAATCCCAGCCATCCTCGAAAGGTAAAGCAAAAGCCAGTACATAGAACGCACAGAGCTACAGTGTCTCTTCCCCTTTTTTCTACATTTATCAATTACAAGCTTCTAGCTTAACCAGCCACACAAATGTAGTTTTACATACTAACACCTCCCTTTTTAGAAATCACAGCCCCTTACTCCATTAGCCCTCCCTGCCTCTTAAGCTGTGCATGAACATTTTACAAATCACATCTCCTCTGAGACTTAAGGTAACATCTTGTTATAGATCTTATCTGATTTCTTGGCCCTGAGAAATGCATGACTGCTATCCTTGCAATTGCCAGAGAATTGCTAATTGTGTCTGTGTGGGTATGTAAACTGGAAAACTTGTGGGATCAGAGAGAGCTTTTGAAGAATAAAGAGACATGATGAGAAGAATACATGTGTGAGCTGATTCATTTCCTTCACCCTCAGATACCCTTAGCAATATTCCACGCTTGCTGTTAGCATCCTGCCAGAACTCAGAGGGCACTGAGGCTGGAACTCAGAGGTCCCCCATAAAAAAGGAAATATTTAATGTATTTTCCTTAGACTTAAGGGAACATTAAGATGGTAACAGGGCCATGATTCCAATAACTGTGTGGCTCATCCTGACAGCTCTGGAAGGCTGTGCACTTGAAGTAGATTGAGAACAGGGATGGAAGGGAAGGTATTAAGCACATGGCAAATACTGAGGTATGCTGGTCTTGTCTGATTTAGAATGAGGAGCTCTTAGGGGATTTATTTTAGGACAAGAGCACTTGCCTACCATATACAGGCTCTAGGTTTGGTTCTGAATACACATCCACCAGATGCCCCACCAAAACCAGAACCAGAAGCCTCTCTTATTAACCTTGACTTCTGATTCCTCCTGAATTCACAGGTTTTAAGAAACACCCCAAAATAATTCTGTCACATGTTATGCATACATGGAAAATATCGGTGTACCTACCAAGTGTCTCAGTTTAACAACCTGTGACTTTGGACACTGCCCACTGATAGCACCAGTTGCTGGACAGTTACTATTGCCTCAGGAGCCATGCAAATTAGGGTGGTTTGTCTTTCAAGGCATATGTGAGGGTGTGGTCTCACTGTCACACAAGTCTTTCTCAAAGAGGCCTTTTCAGGCAGACAAAAGGGTTAGTTGGTCCTTAGCATCGTCAGTGATGAGATAATTATAGTCATGGACAAGAAGTCAAACAAAACTTCCCTAATTCTATTTGTTTACCTTGAAAGTAAGGAAAGAGCACCTCCCTTCCCATTTTCCATGGATGTCCTAAGGATCATGTAAGATAATGTATATAACATATGCAGAAAACAATGCCTAGCAGCAGCATCCTATACCACAGCAAATCCCCGCATCTACCATCAGAAGAAGAGCAAACACATTGCATGTGTATAATAATATTCTACTGGGCAAATAAAATGCTATATTATATACATATATAGGGTATGTTAAATGAAATAAATCCATCTTAAAAAGATAAGTACTATATGATTCCATTTATGAGATGTATTTATCTAGTCAAATTCAGAGACAGAAAGTAGGACAGTGGCTACTAGGAGACAGGGAGGAAGAGGTCATGGGGATTAGTGTTTAGTGGATACTGAGTTCTACTTTGGAAAGACAGAAACATCTGGAAATGAATGATGATGATGGCTGTACAACAATGTTCTTGCATGCAACACCACTGAACTGAACATCAAAAATGGTGGATTTTGTTACTTACATTTGTAACACACATTGCAAATACCTATTATCATTTTTTCTCTTGTCAGAAAAATAGCATTTTCCCCCTTATCCAGTTTTTTTTTTTTTGAGATGGGAGTCTTGCCATGTAGCTCAGGCTGGCACTAGAACCTACTGTGATCCCTCTGCCTTTGTCTTTTCAGTGCTGGGATTACAGGCCTGAGCCGACATGCCTGGAAGGAAATAGAACTTCAATTGCGGGCTTTGCTGTGCTGAGGTTCTCCATGCCTCCTGTATTTAACCACGTACTGTGTGACATGCAAAGGCTCTGAGCACTGCTGTGTAATAGTTAGGTGGGTACTGAGTGTTAGGTTCTTATGGTCCAGGGGAGAAAAGAGTCCATTATGATGCCCTATAGTTTCAGTGTGGTGTACCTCACACACGTGCTCCTCACACATGCCAACCCCTTTCCTCTTTCCACTCCTGTTCTACAGGGAAGGGAGGTGCAGAGGTATGAATTGGCCCGGCAAAGGCCACCCAGCTAGGAACCTCAGAGGCAGGCTGAGAGGATACCTCTCTTCAGCAGAGGGCAACCAGCTAGGTCCACCTGGGACCTGCTGAAGCAGAATCCTTGTGGGGATGGCTATGGGAGGCCTGGCACGATTCAGTGTACATTAACGTTCTAATGCCAAAGAGTTCTCTGAATGGAGGTTACTTTGCGTATGAGGGTATTCAATTTTAAGCTAAAAGATTCCTCTACTTGAAATACTGTTGTGGGATACTTTAATCATAATCTGACACTCCCAAGACTGCCCAGTAAAGTTAAACCTTGAATCAGGGGGCAGAGCCAGCAACTGGCTGATCGGAATTGGTCATAGAGAAGTCAGAAATTTGGATAGAGAAAACACATAGAAAGAAAAGGGTGGGGAGCTTCCTCTTGGTTTTGGGGATGATGAGGAAAGAGATAGGCTAGTTGCTCCTCACCCCAGTCTTTGACTTCTGAGTCAATTCATAAGTAGAATGATAGAGACTTAATTTAAACCTACAAATTATGGCCATGGCAAAGCCAGGGCCGCAGGACAAAAGCGCTTCTAAGCCTCAGCCTGAGTGGCCTGCGGGGCACTGACTGAGGGACCACGGGGCAGCAGATGATAATTAAAATGTCAGTAGATTCATGTGCAGCCACTAAGATGACAGAAAAACATCAAAATACAAAACAGAAAAATATTCTACAGTCACTGTTTTTTCTTGCTACTCAGAATTTGCAGAATTGGCACCAGTGTAATTCTTTTTCTGTGTTCTTGAGGCTTTATCTCTTTTCCAAAAGCAAAGTGGGAATGCTTTTAGAGGTGAAAACTTTTTTAGAAATTTCCTAGCTACTAAACTCTATGGTACTGTAGACAGAACTTCACATACCAACATCAATGGTAAGGTGTGTCTTCTATACTGTTGTTAGTTTTACTATTCATACTTTCACATTTAAAACTCCTAAAATTTCTTCTTTTTAAAAAATCCAGTTTATAGTTAGGATCATTTCTTTGACTTGTCTCTTTTCTCAAGGGTGTACAAATATGAACGTCACTTGAACAGGCCCAGGGCATTGACTACCCACATCAGTTCTATTTAATCTATTTAATTTCTCCTTTAGGATCTGGGGAAACATCATTAGAAACTTACTTGACAAATTCTCATTAAAGAAACTCAAGTGATTCCATGTTTTTTAAATAATTCATGCCGAGCTCAGCAGAACAAGTTTCCCAACCTGTCAGAACAGTTGCTGCGGTTTATATACTAGATAAGACTTGGTATCAATTGTCCTTGGAGGAAGTGCCTCTAGTCCCAGGGACAAACCCACTGCATCTAAAAGTAGCATGAGTATACCGTGGGGGTGAGTGTGCAGACAGTAGTGCAGACTTCCGGAACACAAGTGCACCGTGGGGATGAGTGTGCAGACAGTAGTGCAGACTTCTGGAACACAAGTGCACCGTGGGGATGAGTGTGCAGACTTCCGGAACACAAGTGCACCGTGGGGGTGAGTGTGAAAGAGAAAGGGGACACAACAAAGCCAGCACCGGTCACTGCATGAATCGAGGGGCAGAACCAGGGAGACAAAACATCAGAATCACAGGGTCAGTCACCTGGTCTAATGGCTTCATTTTTAAGAAAGAACCCAAATTCCCAGAGAAGATGACACGGTGGAAAGAAAGCCCTGAACACAGAATCCCAACGTCCAGTCACAAACTTGGAACTATGGAAGTGAGTCTCACATTGACCATGAGACAGACGGCCTTACAGTGTGTGAACAACTGCTTGACTTATGTAATCTCCTCAGCAGGAAACGAGGGCCTTGCACATACTAAGCACATTGTCTACCACTGAGGTGCATCTCCTATATTTACAAAAAAGGTCCGTGATGTGAAAAGCAGAAAGCTAATCTCTAAAGCGGCTTGCAGGTACTCTGGGAGAGCACACAGCAATGTGCTGGGGAGCGTGAAGAAAGTACTGACCTATTTCACTTACTTCACTCTTTACATTTTCTCACACACATTTTATAACGAAGACAATATTTTAATATGCAGTGGTGTGTGCGTGTGTGTGTGCGTGTGTGTGTGCGTGTGTGTGTGCGCGTGTGTGTGTGTGTGTTCGCAGCAACGTGCTGGGGTGCGTGAAGAAAGTACTGACCTATTTCACTTACTTCACTCTTTACATTTTCCCACGCACATTTTATAATGAAGACAATATTTTAATATGCAGTGGTGTGTGTCCGTGCGCACGCGTGCCCCTGCACACATGCACACTGTCAAGAGTTCATGAGCAAACATGAACTGATTCTGGAGTACTGCTGGCTTCCCTGCTATTTTTATCATTATTCATCTATCTGATTTATTTGTAGCATTATGGAATTGTGCTGTCTAGTTTTATGTCACCTTGGCATAGACTGGAAGGAGGGAACCCCAACTGAGAACATGTCTCCCTAAGACTGGGCTGTAGGCAAGCCTGCAGAGCATCTTCTTGATTAGTGATTGATGCGGGAGGGCCCAGCACATCATGGGTGAGGTCACACCTTGGCTGGTGGCCCTGGAAAGGGGGCAGAACAAACTATGGAAAGCAAGCTAGTGAGCAGCACTCCTCCGTGGCCGCTGCATCAGCCCCTACTTCCAGGATCCCACCCTGTTTGATGTTCTTCCCTGACTTCTTCAGTGCCCGACAAAGCATGTGGAAGCATAAACAAAATAAATGCTTTCCTTCTCAACTTGCTTTTGGTTATGGTGTTTCATCCAAGCAATAGTAACCCAACTTAAGACAGGATCAAGCTGAGGGCTTCAAATTTACACATGCTAGGCAAGTACTCTACCACCTAGTTACAGGTCCAACCTACAGTTGTTTTTCTTAATCTAAGAAATTAACAATTACCCTCTATGCCTAACTTTTCTAGACACCTGTGTTTGCTACATATCATAGAAGATCGGTTGTTAAAGGCATGGCACAAATAGAATCCAGGTTTAGTCAACTCTAAGCTTCACTCTCTCTATTACTCCAGTGCTCCCCTCTACTGAAAAGATACTGGGAGAATCTTCCCGTGGGGGACTGATGATTCTGGAATAGCTTTATCTAAAAAGCAAGGTGGATATCAGTACAGTGTGTCTGGTACTCACTTCAGAGTCAGCACCTTGACCAGTATTCTGTTGCCTAGATGTTCCTTAGGACATTCCGGCACTGGACGTATTTCCACAGCATCCTCCTGTTTTGATCACATGACAAAGAAATCATTAGCAACTTTCCACAAGGCTTTGTGGCTGTAGTAAAGCCAGTGAGGAATACTGCTCTGTCTGGAGAGGACAGTTTGCCAACCATGCATCAACGTTCAAAGTCAGCATGCATAGCAAACATCCCTCCTCTGAGAAAAGGAGCACGTGAGCATCTAAGAGAAAGAGACTGGCGGAGGAAGGAAGGAAGTGCAAACATAGCCGGGGCTTAGTAACTTTTACCAGGCAGCATTGCAAGAATGTACAGCTCTAGCCTGTTTTCCCCTCTGAAGCTCCAAATACACCTTCAGAACACTTCTCTTTCCAGCTTTGTTATAAAACTTATATTTACTCTGTGCGTTTGTTGGGGTGGCTGCTTGTGTACTATGTGTCACTTCATGGTAACTCTGCACCCAGTTTGGTGGGATGATCCAATTGGTGAGCTCCCCATGGCTCCATCCTCCTCCCCACGGCCCACCCTCCCTCCCCACAGCTCCACCCTCCCTCCCTACCCCACAGCTCCCATTGCTGAGGGCACAGATGGCATCTTGTTGGTGGAACCACTGCCTTCCCTTCAGAGGAGCGGGGCCTCTGAAGAGCAGCTGGGACTTTCAAGATTACCAGAGCAGATATATGTGCAGGGAAGACCCACTTGCTAGAAAAAACATCACACTTATGTATTTCTAACAGTGACTTTGGTTTGAATTAGAACTATCAGAATCTTCTTTGAAATAAGTTCTAGCTGAGGAAAATTTAAATACATATAGAAGTAGACAGAGTAATAAAGTGAACCACTGTTTATGCAACAGCCAACAACTTCAGCTCAGACCACCTGTTCTGGTCTATATGCTCCCTTTCCAGTTCCCCAGGCTTAATACTGAATTATTTAAAAGCAAATTCCCACACATATAGCTTCATCTGCAAGTATTTTAGTACACATGTGACCTTTTAAAACACCAATAATAACGATGACCTAAAAACTAACTATAATTTCTTACTGTCACTAACTATTTTGCATCAGTTTGCTAAATCAGGATCTAAAAAAGGTTCATATTCATGTCTTACCTTTGGATAATGCATTTCCTAGGCTCCCTGTATTTGAATTTACTGAGGCGTCACATTAATCAGAAACAGGAGATAAAACCCAAGTAGCACAAAGAAGAAATTGGCTGCTTTAGTGAATTCCTGAGGTTTTCATCATCCTGGGATGTATTTATGTTTATGTGTATCTATGTGTACATGTATGCATGTGTGTGTATGCGTATGTATGTGCTTACTTGTGTACATACATGTATATGGTTTATGTGTGTGTGTGTGCATATGAGTTTGTATGCTTGTGTATGTGTGTATGTGTATGTATAGGTGCATGTGTGTGTATAGTATAGGTGCATATGTGTGTTTATATATGGATATGTGTCTGTGTGTGTTTATGTATACATATGTGTGTATGTGCATATATGTATGTATGTGTGTTTATGTGTGTATTTATACATATGTGGTTTATGTATATATATATATATATATATGAGTTTGTGTGTGTTTCTGTATGTGTATGTATAGGCGTATGTGTATGTATAGGTGTGTATGTGTGTGTGTGTGTGTGTGTGTATGTGTGTGTGAGAGAGAGAGAAAAAAGAAGGAGGAATGGAGAAAGCATGATAGTCTTCCATTTGTTGATCCCATGGATCCAGTTGCCAACTCCACAGTTGACTTCTTAGGATTTGGTTACAAGAGTCAGTAGTACTGGCCTCCTCTTTTTAAAGTGTTTTTTAGTTGGGTTCCATCACTTGTAACCAAGAGACGGCAGCTAACTCCTCTGTGATGTGGAATGGAAGGGGACATCTTTCCTAGGGATTGACACAGAAGATGCCCATCACAGAAAGAGTCTCAATCAGGAAAGGGCTTGCACGGTGAAAACTTGGCAGCTGAATCCTACTTTGGCCTTTTCTACAGACTCTTAAAATTTCAACAAAAGTATTTTACCTTCTAATGTTCTTTATTTGGAAATAAAATAGTGGTAACATAAAATAATCTTATTAGTGTTCCATTAAAAAATCAGTATTTATAATCCTTTTAGAGCAAGCAGAATTCACCTCTGTTCCACAGGACTTTCTTGGCTAAGATTCAAATGACAAGCACAAACATGATTTCTTTGAGAACAACTTCAGAATAATAAAGGGTTGGTGTATAGGCTCTCAAGCATTTTACACATTCCAGTTTACAAGTAGCTGGTATGGTAATTATACAGCATTCCTCTCCACTCAATAAAAGCAGGCCACTGGGACCTTAGCTAAGATAGAACTTTCAGCACCCATTTGAATTTCTGCTTTGTCACAAAAACCATAAAACAAAGATCCTTCAAAAACAGTTTATGGTTCATTCTCTGAGTCAAGTCAGACTGGAAATCCTCCCATTCAATCCAGGGAGACTCTGATGGTGAATGTCTGACTCACCCTGTCCCTTCCTGTATTTTCTTCTCTCATCTGATGTCCCCGTTGAGCCTCTCTCTCTGGTTTTTTGAGGCAGGGTTACACCCTAGCTGTCCTGGAACTTGCTCTATAGACAAGGCTGGTCTTGAACTCACAGAGATCGCCTGTCTCTGCCTCTGAGTGCTGGGATTTAAGGTGTGCACCACCACCGCCCAGCACTTTAGTCTCTTATGTTACACTTAGCATCCCCAATCACAGAAATAAACAGAAAAGGGAAAGAGTAAAGGCCACCTGTCAGATTTAATATTTCTTGACAAATCTGATGTTTTAGTCTTAATGCTGTGAATAAAAGTTGAAAAGTTAGAATAACTGACTTTTAAAACATGTCTGTGTTTCAGCAGTATGCCTGGGTCATCATATACAGGCATGTAAGCCAACACAAAGACTGTTAGGGCCCCTGCTTTATAATTTAGTTCACCTTCTGAATCTTGAACAAACTGCTTAAATGTTTCTTCCTTAGTTTCTAATTCAAAATATGGCAATGGTAACATTGCCCATATTCTTCCTAATTTATTTTTTAAAAAATACTTAAAAGTGATAACAAATTTATTTTTATGGGATAAAATATGATGTTTTATGCATTCATTGTAGGAAGATTCTTAAACATTACCTTGCCGATGGTGAGACACTTAAGTCTATTTTTATTAACAACTCAATATACACTACCTTATCATTAATTGTGGTCACCATACAGTAAAATCCAGTGCTCCAGTTTAACTGAAACTTTGTCTTTTTTGATCAGTCTTTCTCTCCTATCTGTCCACCCTATCTGTTAGTTACTTCCTTTATATTTCCTTTCTATGAAACAGTTTTTACATGCCCCATATATGAAAGATACTTCTTGTATGTGTGTGTGTGTATGTGTGTGAGAGTGTGTGTGTGTGCATGTGTGTGTGAGTGTGTGTGAGAGAGTGCATGTGTGTGTGAGAGAGAGACAGAGAGAGTGTATGTGTGTGTGCGCGTGTGAGTGTGTGTGAGAGAGTGTGTGTATGTGTATGAGTGTGTGTGTATGAGTGTGTGTGTGCGCGCGCGTGTGTGAGAGAGAGACAGAGAAAGTGTATGTGTGTGCATGTGTGTGAGTGTGTGTATGTGTGTGAGTGTGTGTGTATGAGTGTGTGTATGTGTGTGAGTGTGTGTATGAGTGTGTGTGTGTGTGTGTGTGTGTGTGTGTGTGTGTGTGTGTGTACTTGCCCATGTGGGCCATAGCTCATCATTAGGCTTCTTCCTCGATACCTTATTTTTGAGTGACTCATCATTTTAGTTAGATTGACAGAGCACCCAGGACCCCTCTGCTCCCCAGGGCTGGAGTTACAGATACATGCCACATGTCCAGTGTTTATGCAGGCACTGGGCAGCAAACACTTTACCCACTGGGCTGTCTCCTCAGCCCCAAGATGCTCACTGATTTATTTAAATCCTTTTTTCAATGTGTCAGATTGCTCTCCAGCTTTCCCATTTATTTATATATGTGTATGTCAGGGGTGGGAGGGGTGGAGGTCAGAGAATAACCTTCTGGAGTTGGTTCTCTCACTCCAGCGTGAGCTCTGGGGATCAAACTCTGGTCATCCGTCTTGGTGATGCACACCACTGCCCAAGGCTCCATCTTTCTGGTCCCATGATTTTACTTTTAATCTGCTTCATATGATTTGAAGCTACAGACAAAACTGCAACTAAGATAAGTAGATAAGAAACCAAGATGATAGGAAAACAAAGATCAGAAGAGAGGAGCAACTGAGGGACCTAAATGTAAGTTGCTGGTGGGGATCTAGGCAAGGAATTCTAAGGATTTGAGGGACACTTCCCCCTTACACCCTCCTAAGTGGTGGGGCTGGAGGGTGAGCAGGTCTCTGTCCTGGGTGACACTGCCACAGTGGACTTGATGCTGCGTGTCCTTCCTGTTGCCTAGTACTGTCCCCCCATAAACCAGTGGGAAGTGAATGGGGGGGCACAGGAACAGAAGGGTCACAGGAGCAGAGGGGTCACAGGAGCAGCACTGCACAGGCGCAGGCCAGGCTTTCTGATGTTACTTGGTCCAGAGACCAAATCTCAAAGATTTACATCCATAGACAGGTGCATTATCTTTCATATAAAGTTTCCCCAAATCTTATTCATTTTTACTATTTGTGTGTGATTGTTTGTATGTGTACACCTGGACATGTGTGTGCCACAATGGGCATGCAGAGGTCAGAGGGCAACTTTGTGGGGTTAGCTCTGTCCTACCACTTTTATGTGAATTCTAGGGATCAGACTCCGGTCTCCCGGCTTGCAGAGCAGGCACTTTGTCTCCTGAGCCACCTTGCTAGCTCCCAGGTCTCGGGTCTTACAACTTAATTTTCTATAAAACTTGAACAGCAGAGATAGAGCAGCTGGCTGTTCTGGCAAGAGCTGGAAGTGTAGGGAACCTGATACACAATGGGAAAGGCTGAAAACCTCATGAGCCAAAACACGTAAGGCTCCAAGGATGGCCACCTCTCATGCCATGCAAAGTGCTCTGGCAAGGGACTCCAGGCAACGTCTAAATTGCTCTGGCCAACTTCAGTAAAGAGGTGGGAAACCAGGATTCTAAAGCTTCACACATGGGGAGCATGGCTGTGGTTCTCTCTCCCAGAGTATGTTCAAAGCAGGTGTTTACACGTGCTCATCTGGGCCCTTGGGGGGTGCCTTAATACCAAGCTTTAAGTAATGTGTGTTTCTGATGGATTAGTTGTGAAACAAAGACCCGGGTAATTGGATGGTTGGCTCTGAACGGGGCTCTGTATACAGGCCTTTGAAATGTTTAGAGGATTAAAGTGCTATGAAAATTCTAGTTGTTTTGAGGATCCCATCAGTGTGATGATTGGCAAGCGGCTCTGCTATGACACAGGTGTGCCTAAGTGAAAACCAGAGTCACACAGTGAGCAGCCTGACATTCACATGGTGCTCTGCAGGGGCAGAGAGCAGAAAAATGCTGTGATAATTTATTGCCGCCCATATCCTCCTCTAAGGAAACCTGCACCCACCTCGTCCACGGATGGATACAGGGCAAAGAGCTCAGCCGGTCTATTGGTCTTTCGGGCCTCCTCTTTCTCTTTCTCAAAGTCCTCAGCACTAAGAAGCTGCAGCAGGTTCTCCAGCCGCTCATCAGGCTGCAGGCTGCGGAGGTCGAAGTCACAAGTAGTGAGGGGGCCCTTCCCAGACACATCACACAGCACCTTTAAGCGGCAGGGTCCTGTCTGTTAGAGAAAACAATTGACCTTCATGAGGGTCTAGGTGTACGGAAAAGGGGCCAGTCAAAGAAACACACCCTGAGCAGAGCCAAAGAAACACACTCTGGCCCTGCAACCAGAACTAAAGAAATGTACCCTGACCCTGAAACCAGTGTCAAAAGAACACACTTTGTCCGTGGAATCTGAGTCAGTGAAAGAAATGCACCCTGGCCCTAAAATTAGAGCCAAAAGGCTAAAAAGGACCAGAGAAAGAAACACACTTTGGCCCTGAAACCAGAGCCAAATCTGACCTTAATCCTGTGTAGAAAAGTAACCAATCCTCGAGCAGAGCTCTAGCCAATCTGAGCTCAGCACTGAAATCAGACCAATCCCTACCCTGGAAAAACTTCCCCACCCCCAAGAATCCCTATATAAACCCTGTGTATGTTCAGCTTGGCTGGTTCAGCTGCTTCCTTCCAATAAACCCCTTCGATGAGCTTTGGGTGAAGATCTTCTTTTGCTGTGATGGAGCAGAGGTGACCTTGGGCAGAGCAGAGCAGAGCGAGCAGGGCTGTAACAATCGCCCGGGAAACCTTCCCTTGGCAGAGCAGAGTTGATACACTCCGCTCCCAGCTCTCCGCTCTCCAGGAGCAGAGATGAACTGTAGCAACTTCGCCCGAGAAACCTCTTGCCCAGTAAAACTGCTACACTGGGCGAACATCCTCAGCTGGAAGACCCTGTCCTGCTGGAGTGGAGCTGATACACTGGGGAAGCCTTTCAGTGAGGCTGGGCTGTAAGCTGCTAAGCTTACTGCAACCTGTGGTAGTCCTTGGCTCCCGAGCTCCAGGATACCTTTCCATCTGAGCTGTGTAACACTCAGTATCCTGTGGCTCCCGAGTGCCAGAATACCTGACCCACTCCTGTTCCATCCCCATCTGCCCGAAACGTTTACACTAGAGGCACAGATGAGAACTAGGCTCAGGGGAAACTCAAGACTGCTCTAGCTGGGGTCTATATAATCTCAGGTCTCAAGGAAGTTTTTTGTTTGTTTTGTTTTGAACAAACTAAAGACTTGACACAACTGGTCTTGTCTTCCTGGTGGAACAGACTATCCTGAAGTGAGGTGCTCTTTCCCTGGAAGCATGCCATTATTCATCAGGTAGATAAGCCAGTCCTGAGCAAGGATTTGAAACCACATTGTGTTCCTAGTAGTTGTTGGCTGAAGCCAAGTCTCTCGGGAACCACACTCACATCTCAGCCCAGAGCTAAACAGAGTTGAGACAAGGGGTAGAACAAAGAGCCTGGACTGCAAACCTAATCAACTTCAGAGCTTGGGATATGAGGCTAGAAAATAAGATGAACTCATAGGAACCTTCATAAAATGCATATACACTCTAAAGCTGAATGTTAAGTTTACAAATGCAGATATATGGGATCAGGGGCACACTTAGTCACTACAGCAGAGCCTGTGTGAGGCTGGGTGCCCCACAAAGTAACCATCGGACTTTAATGATGGCTATAGGAGCAAGCACCAGCAAAGAAAAACTGCATGGGCTATTCAAGCAACAGCTTACATCTGCAGTGGGAACTCATTCGCCTGCTTGTCTTCTCCCCTACACATGAGCCCGATGGACTAGCACACCAACATTAAGAAAGCCTTTTAGATCACTGCTATATCTTCCAGATTTCTGTTGTAAAATACATATAGCGTAAAATACATCCTCTCAGTTATCTTTTGGTAGAGTAAGAACATTTATACTAGAGTACAACTATCCTCATTGTCCATCTTCATGATTCTTTGCAACATGCAAAACTGAAACTCTACCCACAAAACAGTAACTCCTCATTCCTCCCCAGTTGCCAGGCAACCACATTTGATGTGCCACTCTTCCACAGTGGATACCTGGGTTGCTTCCATCTTTTGGCTACCAGGAGTAATGCTTCTGTGGACATGGGTGTATACAGCATTGAATCATAAAGTAACAATTTTGTGAAAATGATGGCAACAATAATAACAGTAGCCACCATTTATTAGGTACTGGGCTTGTTGGCATAAGTGAAGCTGACATTATTCAAAATCTTCTGACTCACTCACTCCCCCAAATAACCTCATGAGATACTTTGTACTATCCTTGGTTTCCAGGGAATAAAACTAGAACCCAGAGAGGTTAATGATAGGGCCTGGGGACAGGGAGGTGGTGTGAGGGGATCAATAAGAAATGTTAGGCAATCTGACAGTGAAGGCTTTGAATCACCCTGGGTCTAACAGGCAGGGGCCCACCATAGGTCCCTCCCTGAACTACAGACCCTTCACTTTTCCCGTCGTAATCACTGTGCTTTGGGGGTTTCTATTTGAATACAGATTTCTACAGCTACAAACCAGTTTGAGGAAAATGGTCACTGACTCAGACAGTAGAGTTCCTCCTATTTGGATGGTCTACAAGTCTTACACTTATTCTAGTTCTTTAAAAATTAACAGCATGCCTTGGAAAGAGCTACCCTGTCACCTGGTAACCATGTTTGTTGATTGGAAATACCTGAGTGGCTGGTTCACTGCACTCCAGAGTTTCTGACTCAAACGTCTGTTTCTGAAGCGTCTTGTGAAAATCTCTCCGTGATCCAGTTTTCTTAAAGCTGCAAAACTCTGAACTTCCTTGGTTTCTTTCATTGTTGATGTGATTTGATTTGGAGAGAGATGGGGAACAGGAGAGAGGAAGGAAGAGACAAAGCATTAGATTAAAAACAAACTAATGACATGAGGGCAGACAAAGTTGTAGAGGAGCTTTAAACAGAGGACAATTGTAATGCCTCCGTCTAATTATGCACCCAGCCTCACACAAGGCTCTGCTGTAGTGACACACACTCGCCTCCTGGCTGGCCATTATGAAAGGCAGGGATGGCCTGGGAAAATGCCACTGTAGAGGTGTGGTCACTTCAGCTGTGGGGCACTCAGCTCCAAGCTGAAGCTAAACTGTGACCATGTAAGAAGCTGAAATAAATCTAGCAATGTGTTGAAGCAGCAAATAGAGATTGTTTGAAGATAATACAGAGGAAGCCATCTCATCTCTATGTCAATGTTCTTAATAATGAGTAAGAAAAGCAGGACATGGCTAAGGAAAAAATATACAAAAATGATGTATGAACCAACATTCTTTGTTAACATCCACAGCCCCACTCTGATAACCTCACTACAACTTCATCAGAGGGATGGGGTGTAGGTCAGTGCCAGTGGTAGAGTGCTTGTGCTTGCCCCACAAGCACGAGGGCCTACACTCACTGGCATGTTAGCTCGTTCGTTCTCTCTCTCTCTCTCTCTCTCTCTCTCTCTCTCTCTCTCTCTCTCTCTCTCTTCCTCTCTCTCTCCCTCTCTCTCCCTCCCTCCTTCCTTCTGTCCTCTTCCCTGTCTGTATCTCTCTGTTTTTATGTCTCTCTCTCTCTCTCTCTCTCTCTCTCTCTCTCTCTCTCTCTCTCTCTCACACACACACACACACACACACACACACACACACACACTATGGAAGAGGTCTAAATTAGAATGGCCAAGGCTATCACTGAAGAATTGAGATGAGAGAGAAGATACTCTTAAGTTGTCATTTTATACCCACAGAAACCAATAGTATATTCCCCATTTTTTTAATGACTGAAAGGGTTATTGGAAAACATGCTACAAAGCGTATGCACACTTAATTGGTGTGCTCTCAGCATTTATTGTAAGGACTGCACGGTTGGTAAAGGGACATGTAATTAGGTGAGAATTTATTTAGGTAGGTCAAATGGCCTGCAGGTAAAGCCAGAACTGTAGGAAGGCCAGCAACTATTCAAACACAGTTCACAACTCTCTGAGAGGGAGGGGCATTGGAGGAAGAGTGTGACATACACAGCAGGTATCAAGGGCACATTAGTTCATTGTATTAAGTAAGGAAGCAGGAGAAGCCCCAGTGCCTTTAGTTGGGAGGTCAGGACAGTAGATGTTACTGTGCTCAGAATACAAACAATTTGTTTTGAGAAAAGAGACACACAGCCCAGAAGTTCTCTGCAGAGCAACCCGGCAACTATTCCAAGCCTGACTTGCTATGACTGGCCAGCTTCAGTGTCCCCTGGCCATCTGTGTACCCAACCCAATCTATAGTAATAAGGCAGGGTGAAAAGCTCCCTGAATTAGGAACTGAAAAGAAGGAAATGTCCATAAGAATACATACTTAGAAAAAAAAAACAAGAAAAGGACCCACAACAATTTCTAATTTGGAGTTCCTAAACAGCTGAAAATAAACAAAAATTAAAATATATATCACATTGTTCAAAAACATCAATGAAAAAGGTATTCCTGGGGATGTCATAAAACAATTGGTTGGATATAATAACTATTTTAAATATTTCAGAGAATTCTTTTGGTTCTAGTTGCTTTGAGGTTGCAAATGAATAGTGTATTATAACTGAACAACATTTATTTTTATAAAATTTACTTTCTTTTAATGGAGTTTGTTAGGAGAAGGCCTGGTGTGGGTTATCTTAAGTCTGCCAACTTCTTGAAAGTTATTCTCAACCATATAGCTCTAGGGATCCATGTGGAGGGGGATGGCAGGCCTTTTTGGTGCACAGAGGGGGAAAAAGGCAGAGGGAGAGCATCAAGATGGCTCACATGGGTGGTGCTTGCCACCAAGGCTTCAGAGAGGAGCAACTCATGCAAGTTGTCCTCTGATGTCTGCACAGCTGTGGCCTGCACTCAAATACTCACGGTCACAAACAAGTAAGTAAATGAAAAAAGCAATGGATGATATAGTCCATCACCTCACCCACTTAGCCACACTCTGGGTGATCTAATACCCGGGAACAAGAAACAACTTAACTAAAGTAGTGGCAAAGTTAGGCAAGTAAGAAGTACTGTCCTGTAATTAGATCCCGAATGAGGAATGAAGACTCACTAGAACTGTGGTTATTAGCTCGGTAAAGCCCTATGGGAAGCAGGAAAACCAGCCCCTCAGCAGGAGTTCTAACCCCCACAGTGGTGTCTGCAGGTACTGTCTTAGAACTGTCCCCTCCAAAGAGAACTAATTCAGAAGCTCCTTTTCAAGGAAAACTTGGGCCATGGGGGGGGGGACACTCAGGAAGCAGCTGACCTAAAGGCCTGAGGTGCAGGTGCCTTAGCAACTAGGACTATGCCTATGTTAACACACTCTTCCCTCACCCCCACGTCTCATAAATTATACCTACTTCTAAGAATGTTTACTTACAAACGTGTAAACACACACCCATGTGTACACACACTAGCACACAACACACACGTACAGGCATGTGCCTGCTTTCATCATCAGCTTCAGGTCATGTCTCTGCCTGGGGTGAGGGATGGGCAGGGATAAATTAGAAGATCTCTTTCCTGAATTGAATTTGTGATTTGATGATAAAAAGTCTACCTATTACAGCAAGCAAAATAAAATCTGGTTTGTTCTTCTAAAGACCCTTTTGGGGATATAGAATGCACGTCCTTTTTTTTCCTGTTTTATGCAAATAGATGTACCCACCCCTTCCATTTTGTTAGACTGTCTTGTGAAGTTCTTTACAAGGATCCCAAAGGCATTGGCAAACCAATTAATTAGAGGTCGATGGAAAAGCTATTTTTTATGTTTTAGCCCGATACTGACGTCACCTTTGTGACTTTTGCCAAGGAAAGCAGTGAGACTAGTGTGTCCATGTTAGAGTCAGAGCAAACTTTTCTCCCCTTCCTCATAGCCTCTACCATCCACTTCCCCATCTGAAAACCTCAGAGACTCACAATGTTCCCCTTGGAAGCAGGGATGACACTGACTGGGGAGAGGCAGGGACTGGCAAGTACGAAGAGTGACTCACTCCCCAAGTGCCAGCATGGAAGAAGCCACCACTGGGTAGGTACTAAGACAGCTGGCTCATTGACTCTGGCTACAGGCATCCCAGCCTACTCACCCCACCCTGGCAGCTTAAACAAAGCCAGGTTCCCAGGGAGCCTGTGTGCAGACAGGAGAAATATGGGAAAGTAGACAGACTGGGAGAATGGCTGTCCACACAACATGAATACAGCCAGCAGCTTCCCAGGAGAATCACACGCTTTGTCTTAAACACCCTTCTGACACACTCAGAAACACCCAAACACTGAAGACTTGGTGAAGGCGTTCTTTTTAGAGGCCAGAACGTGCAGCAGGCAGAATCTGGCTCTTGGGTGGGAAGGGCCTGAGTTCAGATGCTGACTCTTTATGAACCAAGAGAGAAATCTGGGCAGGTGGCCTCATGTCTCTCAGCCAGTTTCCTCAGGACAACCGAAGCTCATTTTAAGTGTCAATTTTGAAGATCAGAGAACAACTGTGTCCTTCTTTTTCCTCCCTCCTCTTCCTTCTTCTCTCCCTCTCCTCCTGTTTCTCAAACACTCTCTACTTTCCTTCTTCTTCTTCTTCCTATATAATTAAGCGTTAAACCCTTTAGGTGTATTGGAACAAGGTAGCCATCTATGTCTCAGGGTAGAAAGTAGCCTCAGAAGTCCAGAATTAGAACTTGAGTCCACGACAGGGTAAGGAATGCATTTATCATGAAAGTGCTGCCTGCATGAAGCGTCCAGTCAGAGCCCAAACAGTGCAAGGAAGATGTCAGAGCATGGCAGCCTGGCACATGGTCTCACTGAGCCCGAGTCTAATAAAGACGCACTTATAAGAAGGGACACCTGACATGAGCTGTCAGACTCGGGTTCGGTGACAAGGCTCCATCCTGTGGTAGAACATCCTGATACTTTGTCAGTGCAAGCTAAAAGAGGTTCACACAGGCAGGCACGGCGTGGCTGGTGTCAGAACCAGAACAGGAGGAGGAGGGAGCTACATTCTGCCAGAGAAAGGAGTTAAAAAGGAGAAGGAGACCACTAGAGCAGACACCATGGCGATGGATGCCCATGTCAACAAGAACTCGGGTTTCACTCTATTCAGTGAAAGGACTGGAAGAGCAAAAAAAAAAAAAAAAAAAAAAGAGCTCCCTTTGCACATGCAGCTTGGCTGCTGAGCACTGCTGTCCACTAAGGCAAAGTGGCATCTGAGAGCCACGGCTAATTCTGGGGGAGGAAGGAAAAAAATCTAACAGTTCCTGGAATACCGAGTGTCAGAGAGCAAGGATGTCTTCACTGACTTCTGGGGTCATGTAAAAAAAGACATAAGTGCCAGTCAAACAGACTGATACCTTCAAACTGAAGACCACTGGAACATGAATCAAATCATTCAATAAGACAGGAAATTATAACTCCATATTGATGGATCAAAGTGAAGGTCTGATGAGGAATGGGATATCATAACAAACCCAAAGGGGGTCTATAGAATAGCTGGCCCCAATCTCAAAAGGTAGGAAAGTAAGAATACACACAGAGAAGGTCTTCCAGCATGACCAAGGGCATGTGACATTTCAGTGTACCATGCAGTTTGGAACTGAATTCTTTTGCTCTCCAAAGAACGTTTTTTGGCCATTTGATGAAAATGGAAATCTGAGGATTCAGTAGTAATGAAATATTAATATTAATTTTCAGAATGTGTGGGTCATATGGCAATAGTGAAAAATGTCCTTGTTTGTAGCAATTACACACTAATGTAGATAGGGCGATGGGAAAATCAGGCCAGGAGTTTGGTCTCACGTGGTTAATGATTAGGAAGAGGTCTTGG